CTGCCTGCGCGCCAGCGCGCCTGCCTGCGGACTATGAAAGCAGCCAACCCATGCGAAATTCTCCTCCAAATCGATTGATGTTAGTAATCGTGGATCGCCAACTATTTCTGACACCCGCTTACTCATTTGTCGCCACATTCACCAACCTTTTAGTTGTTTCCAAAAATAAAATGCGAGTTTATGATTTTTTCCTGATGAAGTCTCCAGAATCGATTAAATTCGCTTGAAAAGATAAACGCTGAACCGGTGACCTTCATAACCATTAATAAAAGGACGAAATCTTGCAGAGATGAAGCGAAGAGGTTCAATAATCTCTAAAAAAACTTCAAGACCTGATTTTTACGGTGTTATGCCACGGTAGGATTTTAATTTTTTCAAAATCTAAAATAACAGATAGAACCCTCATTTCTAGCATTTTTTCGGTGCTGTAGCTTATGAAATGGAGGTTCAAGAAAAAATGGTAGAAAAAGACAGAAAAGGAAACCAAAAACGGGGTAAGGACCTGTTCTGAAGGATCTTGAGTCTCCATTTCCTTTTGGGTTTTAATGGCTTGTTCAAGTCCTTTTAGACTGCTAGCAATGGGTATTCCGTTCTCGTTCAGCATATCAACAAAGGGATTGCCTATAATGTTTGGTTTAGTTTGTATGAATAGATCCCTCTACGGTGTTAGTGGCTGTTTCAATGCTGTTCCTGTGCTGTCACAGGACTAAATGGAAGGAATAGATATGGCAGGAAAAAGTTACAAAAGTTAGACTAAATGATATTAAGCATAAGAGGTCTATGTACCAGTTTTGGGTTGGAGTTTGGCAACTTCGGCTTGTTGTAGTACAGCATCAGCAGCGAGATCTTCCACTTTAAGCTTTTTGTATTTTTCGTACTGAAAGTAGAAAATCACTTTAAAATCAATATTTCCTGAACTGTTTACGAATTAGTTCCTTCACTGATCTCAAACTTTTTTCTCGTTTATTTGTTGTTCTCATTCCATTCTCTGGCTACTACAGTATTGAAATTGCATTCAAAAATCAAATTTACAGTCAGCTTGGTGGTATACTTAGCGTTCACATTTGAGTAAACTCATATGTTTTGAACTTTTTCGATTTCTAGATTAGGTAGCAGAAATGCTGACGGCTTACCTGTTCAGGATGTACTTTCTCCAGTACTTCGAGTTGCGTTTTAAACGCTCCTTTAGCCATCTCCATCTGACCTTTTTTGATAAGAGCATCTGTAAAATCATTGAGCTTTATCTTCGGTCAGGTATGTATGCATCGCTTAGTGAAATTTTTTCCGGAACCAANTTTTTTTTTGGTAGCAAGACCGAGTCTATTCGGACAGCGGCCTGTCTGTAATCCCATTGTGATCAAGCAGACCACGCCCATCGTAAATGGCACTCCTTCAATGGCACATGTAGTGCAGAACGGTTGGTTCTTTAGTGATGCCTTTGGAGGAGCTTCATATGGAAAATTAAGTGTGTATTCTTCTGAATGACTTGGAAACTACTCAAAAGGGGAAAAACAGGTTGTGGTGATGATCCGATTGAACTTTGTTCATGCATACTCACGAATTCTACTTCAAGGGCAACTTTTTTAATGGCTCTTAGATCTGCAGTATCAAAATACTGCCGATTATAAGTGTTAAGAATTCTACTGACGTTCAATACGATAAAGTTGCTAGAGATTACTGCAAAGAAGTCGAACCTAGGAATTTAGCTCCGATCTGTTCAATGGCATACTTGCTGGGCAGTGGTAACAGAGGTTTCGATGAATCATCTTCACTGGAGTCTTCATCGGAGTCATGGCGTCGGCAATGTATTGTTGAAACTGCAAATAAATCAAAGTAACAGTTAGAAGAGGTTTTATGGAGGTTATTTCTGTTATAATATTTACGATTTCACTGATTGACCAGAACGATAGCGGAGGGAGAGATTCAGTAGAATATCACTTCTGAGGTGATTCTACCGAATATAAAGACTTTTGGAGCAAACTTTGTTCATTATGGATTTGTTATCATTTTTCATCTTTCCTTTTTTCTAAGTTTTTCCTTTATTTTCTACTGACTTTTTATTACATTTCCTGCTCGGCGTTTCGGTTTATTGTCAAAGTGGTTTGTATTGGGCGGATTTCGGTCCTGCTTTTGAAGCTTTTCACAGTGTAATGCCTATACACCAAAGACATTTTGTAAAGCTTCCTCTCACTCGACGCTGTTTTTTTTTTCTTTGAACGACGCTACCAATTAGATGAAAATAAATTGATAAAAACTTTTCGGCTAGCTTCTCGGCAAAATCATTCTCATCGAGAATGTAGCAAAGATGAAGGTCTTGGTGGCATCCCTATGATGGTAATTTAAGTCCAAAATGTCAACATCAAGTTATTGGTTCATCCGTTGCTGACTTAGAAAATACGTGACCTCCATCGGTATTGATGAGGATACTTTGAGCATTCTTTGGTTGAACTCTCAAGACTGATGACAATTTTTAATAAAATTTATCTCTAGACGGAATACAGCGGGGAAAACCTTTGGTACGAGTTTTGCTTAGATGTACTTATTCGAGAAAAAACCAGAAAAGTCATACTTACCTAAAATTGAAAGTAATAGGTATGAAAGGAATCGTGAATGTAGCAGTTGCATCAGGGCCGAGGATGTTCCAAGCGGCGGTGACGAAGACACAAAGGTAGCGAGGCGGGATCGACGAGAATCCGGTGGTGGTGCATCGAAAGGGAATTTCGCTGATAACAGGAAGTGATCGACCTCTGGACAGCGACTCGATTTCCACGTCTCAATGAACGATCCGCGGATGATACCACCGAGGTTGGTGCGATAGGTTTGCGGCTATTCTTAGCTGGTTATAACCGAATGGAAAGGGAAACGTGAGTTCAGAACTTTTCGGTTTTTTCGGATCATCTGTTGATCATTCGTCAAATTACCTACCACTACCTTGAGAGTTTAGAATCTCCCTGCGAAAAAAACTCGGTCGCTTTCTTTTTTGTAACATCTAATGACGTAGTAGTAGTAGTAGTAATAGTTTTTTTTCAAATACATTAAGTCACAGTGAGGCCCAGAACTTTCCAAATTTGTATGAATGATCTGAGTCGTTCGTAGCAGTAGCCATACAACTGTCGCTATCATTTATCGCGCGGGCAAATATGGGGACTGGACAACCGGCTATACTTACTGTACCCATTACCCAGAGTCAGGCGAGAAACGGCGCGATTTTGTAGATACATTCGTTTGGATTTAGTCGAAGTTTTCATTTTTATTGTTATTCTTCTTCCATTCACTCAAGTTTATCCTGCTGAATTCCGGTGGTAATGTCGTTACTGTATAATCAGCCAATGGTTAATAGGAAATCTCACGATGAATGATTGGTACTTGATCTTCTACGGTAATCCACCAGCTTTTTTAGAACTCCTCCGTATGTGATGTGTAAACATGAGCAACATAATTATAAATTTATTAATCTACACTGTGAAAGGCAGTTGAATAAGGATTAAACATCTATAGACTAGAACTCTGTTAAATGATCTCGAATTTCAGTCGGCGAAACGAATCAGTACGCCGAATCAGCACTGAAATGTATTGAATTTCTTGATTAACATTGAATTTTAACAAATAAAGGTGAAAAATCGGAGCGTTTGAAATTAAAAATGTAAATCCAAGTTTCAGAATTCGTGGGAAGGCGGAAGAACATGGAACTTGCGCACTAAAGAAATATTTGAGCAATTACTGTTTTCGAGTTGAATTGTGGTCATCGCACGACGGAACATTCGATCAGCTCTGGCGAATATCCATGGGAAAAAGTCTTCTTCCAGCTCTGAAAATGTAACAATATTGGGCTCATCCTTCATGAAGTTATTGATATAAATTAAGCTCGGAGCAGAAGTAGAAGTCATGGTTGATCATTGAATTTGGTGGAAAAAACTGTTCGTTTTTGAAAAAAGGGTCCGCTCATGTTTCCATTGCTCAAGTGTGGTTTCCAATCGGGTAGATGGACCAATGGCACAATTTCTTGCAAAATTTTTCATTAGATTAATTGAAATTGTGTTTATCTAACGGAATTTTGAGCCCAATCCTCGACGGGACATCGATCATTTTAAGCAAATGTCGAGAGGAAAAACCTTGTCCCAACTCCGAATTCAATCGAAAAGTTTGGTCTTATCCTTTTTGAAACTTTTTAACAATTTTGAGGAGGGGTTTGAAAATGAGCGGATCGGTTGTAAGAAAATCCACTAGAAGGAGAGTAAAACAGAAACTTTTTGAAATGGCCGTGAGACAACTATAAAAGGCAACTGCAAAGGGTGAAAATCACTCGAAGCTTTCCAAATGCTTACCAGTAGTCATTAATTGAAGCTTAGTGAGGTGCCTATTCATCGATCTGGTGTCAAGACCTATGCTCCTCGTTTTAGGAGTAATTTCTTTAAGTTTTGCAACGTGTGCCAGGCTCGCTTCGGTGATCTGAAAGAGTTGTTGCGTGAAAGCTGGTAGACTTTCTGGCAGTAGAGCAAGTAAGATTCGGGCTTTAGGGAATCGCGATACTGTCAATATTAGTTGTTCGTCGAGCTATGCACAGGCTACGGGTCACTCGACCAATGGGAAATGTTTTGGGGACGAGCAGTTGAAACAGTTTTGTGTAATGTAATCGATTCGCCGCACGCGGCTGCCGCGATTCCTTGTTGTCTCGTTGTTGCTATTCCAACATTCGTCATACAGCCTATAGATATGCAATTATTTTTTTGGTATGGATCTACAGTTACTTCTTTTGTTTCTATATTCCTTACTCGCTGCGCTGCTTCCGCTTCATTCTGCTACATTCTTTCGTGCGAGACGTCACGGTTTAAACAATACCGATGGTTCATTGTGAGGTGAGGGAATGTCTGGCTGCTTTTATAGTCCGCCGTCGACCCACGAGCGCACGAGCGAGCGCGCAGGCCGGCGCACTATAAAAGCAGCCTGTGACGTCGGCGATGTCGATGTCGATTGGGATAGTTTTTAGATTTCTCCTAATCCGGAAGTCTAACTCCTTCCATGCCTCCATCAACGACCATACCATGAACCTCTTAGGAAAGCAGTAAAGCTGATCCTTATCGTGAGTGAACAATACCATCGCGACTAACAAACAATTCACAATGGTTACTAATTTCGGAAAGTTCTGTACCTGATTACAAGTTTCTTGCGCTAAATTGCGAGTGTATCGTAGGAATGCTTCATGTTTTAGAGATTCGATCACTTTGTTCTGAAAAAAAATTCATCAAGAAAACTTAAAAGTTTGTGGTTTTCCAAGGAATTCTTCAAATGAAATCATCTGGTCTTCAGACATCTTCCCGCTAAATTTCATTTTTCACAGACAAGCGGTGGATAAATTTTTCTGCCGATGTTTTTTAACGGTTGTGTTGTTCACATTCTCCTAACATCTTTAATATATTGATTCGTTACTTCTCCTATGTGGAGTAATATGGCGAAAATATATCATTAAGGAAGAGCTCTACGCTGCTCCTCTCGGAAAATAACATGTCTCAACGCAAACACCGTCAGCGGCGACGCGGACGCTCAAACGGCTTCGACGCTACGTGCTCGGCGCTCACCTCTGTACTCTGAAAGCGCCTACAGGGATGCACACGGCATACCAAATGTGTTAAAGGAAACATCTGAAGGTGACTGGTTACTGCTGCCCCGAAAACATCGACTGTTCGCCATTTTTGTGGTCAGTGGACATTTCGCTTCCTACTATCTTGGAAGTTTCTTCCGCTAACTTCTACTGCTCCCTTGTAGCAATTCTACTTATCAAACTATCCCTCGTTTGTTCTCACCTAGTAAGGTTTGCGGTCTTTTTTTTGTTTGCTTGTGTCCCTAGAAGTGCCAGCTTACTGTAAATGATTCTATAATATGGTAATGTATTGGGTTGGTACTGAAACGCTTACGTGAAGAGCTCGTCTCTTCCTGTCGTTTTTTTCTCATTTGGGCACTTATTGAAAAGTAAGCTCAAGCTATTGATAAAATACCCCCCCCCCCCC